GTAAGTGTGTATCAACAATGTTTATCTGTGGTATTATATTTAAATTTATATTTTTTAGGTTTGTGTTTTTTTAGTGTCTTCCTCGTGTGTTTTTGTTTACTTCTTGGTTTTTTTTTATATTTATGGGTGTGAGTATTTGTAAGTGTGTTTCAGTCGTGTTTGTTTATGTTATTTCATTGCAATTCTTTTTATTTTTTTCTGTTTGCCTCACACACACACACACACACACACACACACACACACACACACACACACACACACACACACACACGACACTAATGTACAAGAAGTAGAGACGACAACTTTAACACACGCACGAAGTCCAAAATGTTATTGACTCGTGACAGGATTTCGTACGCTAACAGAGAGCAACATGTTCACCGACCGCAGGTGGGCGTTGTTGTACCTCTGGCAGTAGCTGTTGTCGGTCTTAAAATGAAATGAATGTGTCAACCTGTCAAGATATTCGATTAATTGTATGCCTACCTGTGTGTGTGTGTGTAATAATAATAATAATGAACGGTTTATTAATAGAGTTGCAGCCGGTGGCTGAAAATATACAAGCTTACATTTGATTTAGATATACTGATATGCGTTGAATACATTTACAATGGCTGTACAGTACATAAATCAGGAGTTGTTTATTATTTTAACAATAGATGGGATGGTGCTGCTCTTATATCTATCGGTGCGGGCTCTTATGGGCTGAATTTTGTTGTATTGGCGGACTGCGCGAATTGGGTGGGGGGCTGCAGGTGGCAGGAGGTGGCAAAGACGAGGGTGGTGCAGTAGTCCACTGCCAAACCTTGCTAGTGCTTGGTGGTGGAGGTCACTGAGAGATGGCATTTCCAGGGTGGAGAGAGTGTTGATGTAGCCGGAGTAGTGTGTGTGTGTGTGTGCGTGTGTGTGCCTCCATTGTTTTCATTACGCTGATAACAATATCGTCATTCAGTTGTTTTTAGTGTGGTACGGAGACAACCTTCCTAATTACTTACATATACAATTTAGATCCTTTACACTATACCATTAATGATGATGATAATACCTTGACGACATGGTAAAAATTATTAATATTTTTATGTTTACTTAAGTCTAAGGTTCCTGGTTCAATTCACAATGCCTCGTAATTGGTGATATAAGAATGACTACAATAAATTGCATCAATTATTACACTGGGAGTCTATCTTAATTAGAAACATTCATTTAGCGCCACGCAGGGCACACAGTGAAGGTCTTGGGAAGTCTAAACAATTGTAATATTTCTCCAGTACTTTAAGTATAATGTTGATACCATTTTTAGAAAGTAATTTTAGTAATTTACTTGAGATCATAACTAGATAATTGCACTCTTTAATGACTACTAAGGGGGGGGGGTGGATATTCATGGTGAAAAACCTTGGTAAAATTCGGTCTCAGACTACCAGATGGCAGCACTAGGAGCAGCAGGCGTCACAAACACCCCCGTGATACACCGCCTCAGTTTCCGCTCTGGCCACGAGATATGGCGTCAAATATATTTCCTGAGACCTCCCGTGTTTTTTTTTTAATACGTGAAATCTGAGAGAATATTTACACTTATATGCTGAAATCCAAGAGTTACCAGGTATAGTCGTTTCTAAGAGGGGGAAATCCAGACAAATATCCTCTGATGGCTACAGAGTTAAGGTGATAATGTAAGATGAACGGGCGGGGTATTGCTGTAACATCGTCCATTAGAGAGCTTGACCATGTTTATTACACACAAGTCACTCTCGCCGCCGCCGACCCAGGAGAGGAGAATAGAGACACGAGAGATGGAAGGAGGAGGTGGGGAGTATAGGAGGAAATTACAAGTGTGACGGAAGGAAGGAAGGAGTAAAGGAGAGGAAGAAGAGGCGTGATAAGAGGGTTGTTGACATCGGAGGTTCCTTTAGATGAGGTGCAATGTTGGTTTTTATTCCTCCAAGTCAGTCGTTCCGTGTCTGTCAGCTGCCTCTCTCTCTCTCTCTCTCTCTCTCTCTCTCTCTCTCTCTCTCTTATGTGGATGTATGTATATAGCGAGGTAGAAGCTAAGTGAACATAGACATGAAATGCATTGTCAAATTGAAATAGAGAGAGAGAGAGAGCCATTAGATCGCCTGAATTAGGTCAGCATGACAACTGACCTCAGAGTTAGATGTTGTAAAGGGTGAGGTTAGGTTAGGGCTTTGATTAACTTGATTAGGTTAGTAGATGTTGGTTAGGTTAGGTTAGTTCAAGTTAAATTAGGAATTACTTAGATTAATTAAAGATAAATTATTTTAGATTAAGTTGAGATACATGAACTTAGATTAGTTTAGTGATTACATTAAATTTATTCAAGATTAGATTAATATATATTCCACCTGACCCACACGGCGCACCTGACCCACCTCACCCACCTCCCAGCCCACACGCCCTCCCCACCCTCACCCACCCTCACCACGGCGCACCTCACCCACACCCACCTGACCACGACGCACCTGCCCACCTCACCCACCTCGTCCCACCTGAACCAGACCCACCTCCCACCTGACCCACCTGACCCACCTCACCCACACGACCCACCTGACCCACCTCACCCACGACGCAGCAGCACAACACGTCACCAAGTAATACCTACTGTACAAATAAGACTCCCAATGTGGTGTTCGATTCCTTTACGCTTGTTCCAGTGACGTATAATAGTGATAAAATTTAATTCTAGTTAATTTAGATGAATTGGGTCATTGGGTATTGGTTATTACAGTGTCCTGGTGTGTGTGTGTGTGTGTGTGTGTGTATAATAATTATATAATAATTAACGGTTTATTGAAAAGCTTGGCAGCCAGAAGGCTGAAAATATACAGTTACATATTTGGGGAATGGGTTACAATTACAAATAATATACAAGTGACATAAGTGACACATATAAGACATGTAGTAACTTAGATGGGGATCAGCTCAAAATACAGTTCATTTCAACATAGTGACAGTGTAGGGCAGTGTTTACTGGGAGTGAATACACGTTTATTACATGTTATTGATAATTTTTACAATGGTTGGGACTGGGCTGTTCTTATAGCGATCAGTTCGTGCGTATGGGCTGGATGCGGTTGTGGTGTCGAACAGCAATTCTCGGACAGGGATCACAGGTGGTATGGGCCAGTGTCGGGGATTGTGGCTTCTTACAAATTTCAGATGAGGTCGTGGTGATGGTCAGTGAGAGTCAAGAAGGTCAGTGTGTTGAGCGCTTCTTGATATAGTAGAGGAGAATAATCTTGCATGCCCTCTTTTACTTTCTAGGTGTTTACGTTGTGGCATTTAGGAGGAAGACCAGGTGGGGCATAGGTGAGCTTGGGAAGTATGAATGTTGTGTAAACACTGAGGAGCTCAGGTGCAGAACTCCGGGGACTTGAGTCGGCGGAGGAGGTGGAGACGGAACTGGAGGTTCAACTTCACTGACGTGTGGTTTCCAATTTAGTTTGTTGTCTATGGTGACGCCGAGGAGCTTCGTGGAATCTACAACCTGGGTGTGTTCGGACCTAGGTAATGGAAGGAGGTGGGACAATGTCGGAGGAGAGGTTGATGTGCATAACCATTGTCTTGGTATGGTTGATGGTGACATGGTTGTTGGTGGCTTTTGGAGACTGTTCAATAAATCCTGAAGGGCGGTATAGTTGGGGCCGGATTGTTGACGCTGATCCCAATGGTGGAGTCGTCGACATATTTCCAGCGAGCGGGGCTTCTCTTGGGGCATCATTGATGAGCATAAGGAAGCAGAGTGGTCCCATCTTGGTGCCTTGGGGACGCCACAGGTGAGTGACTGAAGGTGGAACAGCCCCTCAAGCGTACAGCTTGGCGTCGGTCACTGAAAGTCTGTAAGCCATGGTATGAGACTTCTCGGCCCGAGGTCATAGCTTTGTTTATGATTATATTGTGGTCGACTAGGTCGAACTAGTGAAATCAATGAAAGGCGACAGCTACAGACGTTTTCGTTTCTCGAGATGGCGGTTATGTGTGTGTGTGTGTGTGTGTGTAAAACTGATGACTAATATAATCAACTTTTAATACACGTTATCATTATTTTACTTACCTGATGTGTATAAACAATTAATTTGTCTCAACCATTAATCATCTGTAGTGGCAGTAATATATATGAGAAAGTCAACAGTTTAATGAGTGCAGGTAATATAAGTGTATTCGTGCACCCAGGTAAAAGTTATTGATATGTTTGTTTATTTATGAAATGATTAAATAAATACTTACCTGTGTTTATTGGTTGTAAGATAAATACTCTTATAAATACGTGTTGTATTCTCAAGTATTGTAACATACAGGCATTATGTCCGTGTTGCTAAAAATATATATTAGTAAACATACATCAATACAGTTGTGACACAGGTGAGAAATGAATTTAATTAGGTGGTGTTATTGTTCAGGTGTTATTATTAAGGTGTTATGGTTATCAGCTGAGTGTCTGTCTGTCTGTCTGTCTGTCTATCTGTCTGTCTGTCTATCTGTCTATGTGTGTTTACTGCTCTGTTATATTGTGTGTGTGTGTGTGTGTGTGTGTGTCTCCTCCCAGCTTGAGTCTTAGTGGGTTATCTTTCAGAGGGGTCAAAGTGTGTGTCCTACGCCAGCCAGCATTGTAAGGGGTGCACGAGAGGGGTACAAAGTTGACTCCTGTGAGCTGCCTCTCTTATCGTCCCAAACTGTCGTACAGCTCCATTGTGTGAGAGTGGGTGGTGGTGGTGATGAGTGTACTCGTAGTAGTAGCAGTAGTAGTAGTAGTAGTTAGCGGAGGTGTGGCTATATAGGGAAGTTGGAGGCTACGTTTAAAAAAAATGGTAGTAGTAGTAATAGACGAAGAAGAATTACCACCATTAGTAGTAGTGGCAGCGGTAATAGTAATAGTAATGGTAGTAGTAGTAGTAGTAGTGGTGGTAGTGGTGATAGTGGTAGTGGTGGTAGTGGTGATAGTGGTAGTGGTGGTAGTGGTGATAGTGGTAGTGGTGGTAGTG